TTTCATGTTCCCTTTGTGAGATTTCGTACCGGAGTGAAATTCTCACCCCGGTACAACAACCGGGGTGAACTCACGTCGGGGTGACTCGCGCCGGCATAACATTTTGTGGTAGTATCATGTAAACAAATGTAGAGCCACGAGAGGGAACCGGAGTGAACTCGCGCCGTCACGAAGGTCGCCCCGATGTCATGTTAACACCCTCTTAATTTTCGTGCTGCTAAAATGGTTCCATGTGAACGGAACACCTCAACACACGAATTTTCCACCAATCAACAACAACAACATAAGCTTTATTTGCATGACTATAATTGTGTAGTTACAGTATTGCAAAAGTTTTAACATAAAAACAAACAAACAAACAAACAAATCATAACAATGATAATGCATAGGTGTACGGGAAATTTTTTACCGGGGGCGGTAAACCATTTGCCCAAAAAATTCTCGCATGTGTCCCAAATTTTTACAAAAGAGTCGAAAAGAAACGAGGGCCATATTGCAACAACATAGGCCGTAATGGCGTATGAAGGTGGCTCGATACAGTTTTTCAGGGTCAATACCAAGTCTGAGCATAAACTACGTCGCCATAAACAAACATTAGGAAAAATTGCCACCGCAGTAGATGAAAAGTTGTCATGATCAGGGTTGCAATGACATCAGAGTTGTCATAACATCGAAATCACGCCATTACCTATTTTACGTTCAGCAAAATTAAAAATTCACGGCACTGGGAACCTTACAAAATCGTTCACAGGAGCTTTTTTCGCCAATACGGTCTTCTCGATGTTTGCAAAGTTTAAGCAAAATCTGTAACAGCTTTATCGAGATAGTTTGGGATGAAGTTTTTACCGTTAGAAATACGGTAAGAAAAGGAAAATCGTGAGGTTTGGCCGTTATCTGTAGAAAACGAAGCGCTTTCGACATGCAATTTCACCTCATAGTAGTTTTAATCTTTTTAAAAACGTATGTGAAAGATCGTGGAGATAGCTCTGCCCGATTGCTAGAAAGAGGGATTTGATCAGTATGTATCGCGGCGCTCTTGTTAGCGGTTTTGTAAACATTTCGGTCTACTTTAACAAATTAGCGAATAATTTTCGCACTCGATAGATTTTTTGAATTGAGATTCTTCTCGTAATTAAAACTGAGAATTAGTCAGCCACCCCTTCGTTTTCAGACCCACCCTGTTATTCGAGTGGAGATGATTCTAGAAAGTTATGCAAAAGTTTATTCTAATCAATTCACGACTGGATAGCCCATTCCAGCTGGTGCAGTGCAGTACGGTACCCAACAATAACAAAAAAATAAATGTGTAAATTACTCATCACGCGATTACTGTCTCGTGTGAATGTAACTGGGTTATTGCACCGACTTCAGGTTAATATTCAGGTCTTCAAAATAATTAAATAACCATGGAGAAGTCTTTAAAAACAGGCTTTGCCCAAATTTTCTCTTGCTGCCCAAAAAATCTGAGTTGCCCAAAATTTGGGGGCGCTGCAGCCCCCCTCGCTCCCCCGGCCCGTACGCCTATGGCAATGCAATAATTACTATAGTCAATCAAGTGTCATCAGCATGATTTGATATCAAATTATTACGTAAATCATTGCATAAAGAGACAAATTTCAACAAATGTGAATTTACGGAAAAATTCTGTGAATTCATCAATTTAATTATTAATTCTGTGTAAGATAGCTGATTAAAGTCGACAAAATTTTGTTGGATTTTATTGTAGAATTTCTCCCTTGCGATTGAGTATTTTGGACAATGGAAGAGAAAATGAAATTCGTCTTCAATTATACCAGAGTTACAAATAGAGCAGAATCTATCGTTGCGGGAAGTTTGATTATATCATCCAGTTTCAATCATGAGTTTGTGTTTACTTATACGAATTTTCACTAAATCTTTCCTATTAGCAGAATTTCTAATTAAGTCTAGACAACTTGAAATTTTATAATCATGTTTAAATAAGCTGTAAAATTGTAGTTTCTTAGAATGATGGATTGTATGTTGCCAATATGTAATATGTTTTTGTTTTATTATGTCTATATAGTGTTTAATCTTAGCTTTACTTAAATTATTAGGATCAAAATCAGGGAGGTCATAATATTCAGATATTTTCATAAGATTATGGTAAAAGCTATTTTTCCCATTACAGTGAAGTTCTAGCGAAGTACGAAAGGCTTGTTTAACAACAGTATCCTCGTTTTTACGTAGAAGATACAATATGTAATAAAGGATGTTTTTATAAATATTAATAATTAATGGAAACCGCCCTAATTCACTTCTACTTGCAACATTTAAAGCTTTATTGCTCATTTCTAGGTAACGCTTGCAAAATTTCAAGAGGGTTTTTTCAGTTGGGGTATTGTCCCAAGCTTTAAAATCATGTTTTACATATACACCCCAAATTTCGCTATTATATGATAATATTGGGGAAATCATGGTTTCAAATATTTTGCAAGCAAGAGAAGGTTTTAATTTTCTAAAGTTTGTGTGTTTTCTTAAACTAAAAAGAGCATGAAGAGCCTTCTCTTTCAAGTGTTCGAGTGAGATATTAAAATTACCGGTTGAGGAGATACGGGTTCCTAAATATGTATATTCATGGACAATATCAATGGTTTCTTTACCTATATGGAATTCTAGATTGGAGTTTTTCTTCGCTCGTTTTTGAAAGACCATAACTTTGGTCTTTTTGGAATTTATATCTAACATCCCAAGAGTTGCAAAAAGAGGATAATGTGTTGAGACAGTTTTGTAATCCTATTTTAGATCGTGATATAATAATTAAATCATCAGCATATAAAAGCGAATTTAATTTGGTACCATTTGAAAGGATGATAGGGTCAGATAAAGTATTTTGAAATGCGGACGGTAAGTCATTAACGTATAAATTGAAAAGTAAGGGGCTTAAAATACAGCCCTGGCGTACGCCAATCGAAAGTTTTTCCCGTGCCGTGTGAGCTAAGCTAAACGTGAATTGTATTTCTGTATGCGTAATAAGCAGTGAATTCACACGCAAGGAGGTAATGAAATTTCTGTCAGCCCAGTTTCCTTGAATTAGATATATATTTCTTCATAGTCATTATATCCATTCAAAGATTTTTCAGTCAGAGTTCAGTCTGGCAAATACAGAGAAGTTAAGGTGAAAAATTAACTGCTCATTTGTATGAATTCAGGAATGCAGATTTGAATTTGATACAAGCTGCGGAAGACGTTATTTTGAGCTAGCTTGAATAAAGCATCTTGAAAGAAGTGCTGGTCGTCAGGTAGCCTCCAGGATGAGCCTTCGATTGTGGCCTCCTCTTGTCTTTAAAGAAACCGCTCGTTCATAGGTTATGAAACAAGACGCAAAAAACAGTTATTCTTTAATTTTCATTTAAACTGTAATTAAATTGAACTACAGTTCAACTTTGTTTTCTATGCCGTTGTTTTGCAGGCCTTCGTTTTGTAGTTGGTCGTTTTATGGGTGGGAGGTCTTCGTTTTCTAGGTCGTTTTTTTTTTCTAGACACCGTCAAATGATTGATAATTATCGACTTTGCGGTGGTTTTAATGGTGTTAGCACGGCGGCTGTTGTTTGTCACAAACTAGACCTGTGGGAATTGAGCATTTTTCCTTTATAAAATACTTCTTTTGTTTCAATAAATCTGCTTAGCTGCTGGTCACGTGAGTGGAAACGCTCTATACCTAATCTACTATTGAGAAAGAATTTTTAGCGAGTGTTTCTAGATTTACACATGGCAAATATGAGTTTCACGAGTCATTGTGTTCAGTATCTGTCACTATTTTCCGGTGCCCCATTCTGAGGAAAGTTTGCTCTTCTAATTTCACGTATATTTTCTTTCAGTACTTTCTCTTTCAGCCGAAAGTATCATGAGTTTAGGCGGAAGTTGTGACGTTTTTTTTTTGAAGGAAGGTGACCTACTTGCCAAGCTCTTGAAGAGGGAAGGTTTAGGGAATCGTGAGTCGTGAATCAAATTATTTTCAAATGAAAGAAAACAATTCAGCTACAAGCTGACGGGTTTTGGCGTTCTTTATGAATTACATTCTTGGCAAAATGTCAAAAAAAAAAAAAAAAAAAAAAACGTTCGCAGGCAGGTGTGGCTATTTCCAGGCCCCCTTCACGCTTTTTAGTTATTTGTTGTTGTAGTCGGCATCTCGGCTGCCCTTTCGCCCTTTAACCTCTGTCATTTCAGGAACAATTCAGTCTGTAATATCGCCTGCAAGACAAAAAGCTTATTACTAAAAATATATCAATATATCTGTTAAAGGCAGGAGCTAGGGGGATGTCCGCTGACATGTCCAACAGATAGAGAACCCTTGGAAAGAAACAAGGTAAACTAGAGCTACGTTTCTTGCAAAAACCTCGCGAGCTGTAAAGAAGAAAGGGAAACTTGTCAAAGGGGAAAATAGAATTTAAAAAAAATAAATGGGTAAAAATTGTACAACAAAGAAAAAAAACTACAGCGTCGCCGACAGTCGAACCTTGGCCTTCTTCATTTGGTAAAGTCATTATTTTCAAAGCATTTTCCCGTTAAATTCTGCCAATAGACGCTGTTATATAAGAAGCCAGTGCGGAGAGCTTTAGATATTATGAATTCAAAGATACATTTTTAGAGAAAATTAGCTTAAACGCATAATTCAAAGCTTTTTTGCACAACTTATTTTGGTCGCAGGATGTAAATTTTTAGATAAGTTAATTAAGGGGTAAAAATGGTGTTTCTATCTATAGACATTTGCCCCCCTTTTTCTACATTTCAGGACATTTTCCCGGACAAATCAACTGAAAGAAAGATTCTGTCACTAATCATTAAGTGTCCCAGTGAAGGTTGTGAATGGACCGGTGAGCTAAGGGAAAAAGAGGTCAGGATAGTGTTTCGTGTTCCAAATTTCCCTTGTTCCCCCTGCAAATAAAAATGAAGGTGATGATTGGGCCGTTTTGATTTTTGAGTTCCACCAACCCTCTGTTTTAAATAAGGCCTATTGTACAACTTGTTGCAAAAACTGGCCTGGTGCAATACCTTATAATTACACTGGAAATCAGAAAGATCTGTTTTAGCCCTAAAAAATATATAGGGCCGTTTCGGTGAGGAAAATACAGTTCTATTTTTGAGTCTAATTTGGCCCCCTTAAATCAGGGCCAATACAGTCCAATTAGCTAGGGCTGATTTGGTCCCAGGGCTGAAATGGGCCCTACCGTGGGCTGGAATAGCCTTTTGATTAAGCTTTTTTGGCCTAAATTGTGTTCAAATGGCTCCAGGAAGGGCTGAATCGGACTTTGGCCTACAGGTTGAATTGACACTTTGGAGCTGAAACAGATCTTTTTAATTTTCAGTGTATGTAAAAATGCGTTCACTTTGCTTGAAATTGAAATTAATTTCAAAGAGTCGCAATTACCCTTTGGTTTAGAAAAGAGGATAAGAGCAACTCGAAAGTGGCCTATTAATAGTCTACAAACGTACCCAAAGAAGGGGTTCTTCTGGGGTTACCCGTTACCCCTGCCAAATGATATAACAATTGATTCCTCCCTATATTTGGGGTATGTGAAAAACCTTACTCGATATATAACATTTCACATCTGTTATGAATTAAGTCCACCTGAAAAATGTAGCCTCGTAATGTAAGTGACTGCATTATGCTGAGTGTTAGCTGTTCGTAACTTTTCAGCTTGGCTTATTACAATTCTGTCTCAATAGTAGTCCGCATTGTGAAGCTTCAACCTCCAGGCTGTATCTTTCCCCTCACCATTCACGGGGCTTGATTGTTATGTTAAGACCTGATTACACTCTTGGTCCTCTAATTCATCCTCAGCATTTCGAATACATAACGCCATGTCTCAAAATTTTGCTTTCCTTCGCTATTTTCTTCATATTTTCATTTTTTATTCTCGGCAGGCACATCTAGAAAACTGCGAGGGTCTTGTAACAGAATGTCCAAACAACTGCGGGATTAAAATATTAAAGGAAAAAGTAAGACTGGTTACGATGTGTGCTTAGGTCACCTGATAATAAAATGTAAATGTTACTGGTTTTGCCCACGAAGCAGTTGGGAGATCTCACAAGGACGAAAATGTTCGTGAATTCCAATTGGAAGTATCCAGAAAATAACCTCTCGGATTACTGCAGAGAATAAAATAAGCATTAGCAAACTCAAAACACGAGCAGGGTGACACAGTTGTGAGAGCGTGAGAGCGCTCACTTCCTTGCAACTATTGGCCTGGGTTCGAATCCCGGAAGCGACGCCATGTTGAGTTTGTTACGCAGTGAAACCCCGCCTTAGGACCACCTCGGTGATACGGTCACCGCGATCGTTATTACGGCCACTTTTTTTTTGGGCCATACACAGTTTCTTGTAAAAAAAATCCCTCGTTAATACGCTGACCCGTTAATACGGCCAAATTTTTTGTGACCCATTGGTGACCGTATTAACGGGGTTCCACTGTATCTACTAAGTTCATTCTCTCCAAGTTTTTTAAGTCAAAATGGTTAGACAGCCTGTCTCATTCAAAACTTTCCCTTTAGTTTATCGGTACCTGCACAGATCGCTTGTGCGTGGAGGTGTGAAGGTATTATTTAGTATTGTAGGGTAACTGGAAAATCCAAAACCTTATTAATAACTAAGTTATTGTGTTCCTACAAGGTCCAAGACCACGTTAAAAATACTTGTCCGCTGACTGAAGTTCCCTGCCCATATGATTGGATGGGCTGTATATGGAAGGTAATTTTTTTGATTATTAGAATATTTAAAATATTTCGTTGTGGAATTTTCGAATGGACACAGACAGCAAAGGGTTATATTACTATCACATTTTTTTAAACTTTTAGTCTCTGTAACAATTATACTTACTATTATCTTTTTATAATCCGATACTATTGTTTTTTTTTTATGTATATTGTAGATTTTTTATTGTAGTTTTTAACAGGCTAAGAGCCACTAGGTGGATACACTGTTAATAAACCATTATTGTTATTATTATTTTGGACCATTGGGAATTAGCGCTCTATGAATATTGTATATTATTATATTGTTATTATTATTATAATTATTATTATTAGGAACAGGGAAGTCATGTAACGGTTTACGTCATTGTCTATAGTCAAAGAAAATAGCTTTGACGCCAGTTATTCCTCAGCAGCCCATCACCGTTATCCACCGGATAAATCTCTATCTATTGGATAGTAGCATTGGTCTCCCCCATACTTATCCACTTCAGTGATTTATCCAGTGGATATATAGCGTTTCCGGTGTTTCAGCAACTGGGGCCTGAACCAGACAGCGTGGGAAAAACGTCTTTTTTGAGAGAACTATAAAACATTCGCAGTTCTCACTTGTTTTAGTTCAGTCGTGGAGGTCGCAAAAGCACGACAACAATTTTTTCCTGTTTCCTCTAAGCTTGGATAGAATTGGACGAGTTGCAAAAGAAACGTTAATGGTACACATGTAATCGACGTCTTGGATGTCACCACCATGGCGGTTGCTATAATAATCATCTTAAGACATCTCAAACTTGGTACTCCGTTGATCGCTTGTTGACCTTGTTAATACAGCTATAGAGAAGTGTAATAGAACAGGATTAATTTTGCACGCTTTAAAAAAACAAGAATCACTTCGTAAATTTTACCGGGGCCACTTTTGTCTTGGCAACCCAAGTGGAAGGGTCGTTTTCATCAACAAGGTTGTCGGGCGACATGAAAATCTTTTTTATTGCAAATATTCTTTAGAGATGAAAACAAGGTGTAATGAATAATGTGAAAAGAGAAAATGTTAGGGAATCCCCCATTTTGAACAGTTGAGAGTTTTCGCATGTCGCTAACGTAAATATTGTGTGACAGAGGTTATGTGAAACAATCTTTTTTGGTTTTTCATCAGTTAAAGCAGTGATAGACTTTCTTGTAATGAGTCTTAATTATTTGTTGGCCAATATTTGACGAAGTTTCCTGTAGCGAGTGCGAATTGTAAGGTATTGAAACGCACAAACAAAGTTTCGCGTATGCAAGTTTAATAAGTTAAGATTTTTGTTTTGTCGTAGTGTACACAGTTTAACAGCGACTAAGCTTTGTCATCGCTAGGACGAATACTGTAACAATATTTTTTAATACACAGGGATCTCATTTATTGATAAGTAGCAAATATAGTCGCATTAACCATTTTCTTTGAATTATTTCAATATACTTCTAAATCACAAAGGTAAACAATTATGTCCAGTAAAGGTGAGGGCATAAAAACGCCCTAGCAATGGTTTAATGCAAATAAGGAAAGAGGAAAGGGCAATGGGAGGAGGAGGGAAAAAGTAATTTGTTCGCATGGCGAGTGTGTTAGAACGAATGACTGCTTTGCAGCAAAGGTCACATGTAATTAAAACTCCAGAACAATAGATGAGGGTTCAATACATTAGACTACGAGTAGTCCCCCATTTTTCCTCAGGGATAGTAGAGCGAGCGAAACGCGAGCGCGCGTGAAAATCACCCCACGCAAGAAAACCCTAACATAAAAAATTCTACATCAACGTCTAATGAATAATGTGAAAAGACAAAATGTTAGGGAATCCCACATTTTGAACAGTTGAGAGTTTGCGCATCTCGCTAACGTAAATATTGCGTGGCAAAGGTTATTTGACAATATTTTGTTTTGTTGCCTCATAAGTCAAAGCAGTGATAGACTTCCTCCTAATATTAATGTGAAGTGAAGATCATGACAAAGCGCACAAGTAATTATTATAGCCTTGTCACGTTTGCCATGCACACACAAGCGTTTTGCCATCCTCTTCTCCAGTTTCTCGACGTCCTGTTGATAGCAACGACAACGGCGACGTCAACGAGAACGGCAAAAATGCAATAGGTTTAATTAGCAAAACAAAGACTTTGCACGTGCATCATGCTTTTTTGTACATTTCTTTACCGTCACTACGCGACTACGACCGGGTTAAAATGCCTATTTTCACGTCTAGTGGAGGACGTTAACACACAGCCGTTTAGAATTCAGGTCCAGAAAAAACTGCCAACATTTGGCGAATTGAACCCGAGGTATAAGCGCGAGAAAGTTTGAAGCAGCCATCCGTACTTTTTAGGTGACGTTTTTGTAGCCGTCGCCGTCGTTGTTTCTTAAGCTCCCTCACAACAGAGTTCTTATTGAAAACATATTTTGCTATAGCTTGTTCCGAAGCGCTTTTTCTATTCTGGTTATATGCCCCCTCCCTTTATAAGCTTTCCTACCTGATCGTTACGTTAGGATGTATTATTAACCGCATCTACAGTGAATTCGTTGATGTCTGAGAAAGGCCAATTTTTATGCTGATATTTCAGGTCCAGAGAGAAGTGCTCGAATCACATATCCAGTGTGAGACCAGCCATCATCTTCATTTGAGTTGCTGTAAATTAAACGGCACTCAGGATGAAGTGAGAAAACTTCAAACTAAAGTGAGGAAACTTGTGGAGAGAGAAAACATCCGCCACAATGAAATTGAACAAAGAGTGCAGGCCCGCCAAAATCATTTGGAAGAAAGAGTGCAGGCCCTTCAAAATCATTTTGAAGAGAGGGTTAACGTGCTAACAGATATCAATCATAAATTAAAGGGCGATCTGAATACCACTCGCATGGCACTCTTATTTTTCTCTGCCGTTCTTATCGTTATTATTGCTGTGTTGCTTGGCCGTTTGGAAACAAAGCTCGAAGAGCAAATTAATGGCCTGCAAAACAAGCTTACAAGGAAAGTGGGTGAAGTAGAAAAGATTCTGGAATTTAAAGTGACTGATGTACGTGGACAGTTGGTGAACGATATGAATGAAGTTAAGAAAAGTCTTGAAACAAAACTCAAAGAGCAAATTGATGGCGTGCAAAACAAGCTTAAAAGGAAATGGGGTGAAGTGGAAAAGACTCTGAAATTTAATGTGCCTTATGTACGAGGACAGCTGATGAAGGATCTGAAAGTTAAAGTCGAAGATCTTGAAAAGATGAGCGTAAGTAACATGTCAGTAATCAACTAAAAATAACTCGATGAAGGTCAGTTAAACGGCAGAACTGTCAGAATTGACTTTTTAAAAAATGCTACTGAATGCGAATGAATGCCAAAATGAAGGATTAAAAAACATCCTGTTTAAACACAAACAACGAAAAAACTGTGTCAAAATACCATAAAATTCCGAAAATGAGCCCTTTCATGTATAAGCCCCTCAAGACCTCTAAATTCATTAATAAGGCAAAAACCCCTCCGTTAAATCACCCCTCCGAACATAATCAGTCTCGGAGCTTATACTTGGAAATTGCGGCCTCAAATGCAAAATAAAACAAAGCAAAACGGTACAGTAACACATAGCGTATGGGGCCGTCTGTACATAGGCTTAGGAACACCGATTTTTTTATTTGCCATACTAATTGCGTGTGCCAATTGATATACTGTTAAAGCGCCATAGATTCCGAACGGTTGGTGACAAGTCTGGACTTTTTGTTAAGATTCATTTTTTCGTTTGAACAGTGTTCTATACCTCATTATTGAAGTTCATTACCCTTAACTGGGTATTGCGTTTTCAATAAAGTAATTTGCGGTTGTGCTTTAAGCATTGCTGACTAAATCCCCTGGGAAGAGGCATGGACCGCTTAGGCATGGACCGGTTTCCACTTGCTTGTTTCATTCAAAATGTTTCGCCCTTTATACTACTACATGAGAAATTTCTGCAATTTGATTGGCTTAGAGCAGTGGTATTTCAGCTTAATTTGAAATACCTACATGTGAAAATTACAAACCTTCTATGGGTAGTAGTATAAACAAATAATAACATGATTTGTACATGATATCTCAAAATTGTCTCAAATTTCACTCGCCTGACGGCTCGTGAAATTATGTATAACAATTTTGAAATCTCAGTTGTGGTATTTATGCCAAATATCACTGCAAATCATGCTATTACCTATACTAATCTGATTGGCTTCCATCCCCTTGCTAATTCTTCATAACCAAGGTCCGAGGTCCGAGCTATATACTACCGCTTCTTTCTGCTTGAAAAAGATATTGATCGATTGTAAATTTGCCTGGAAATGAGGCCAGCTTGGGCTATAGTGAACTAAGGAAAGGGCGTTCAAGGCTATCTGAAGACGAAATAGAGGAATTTCTGACCAAAACTGAACGGACGAAATGCAAGAATACGCAAAACATATTGTTCAATGGAAGTTATATGTACGTTTTGAAAAGTATCTGGAAAAATAGGCAAAGTTTTCAAGGAAGCCTGCGGATACGTAAGCTTTGTCACAAACTATCAAAAAAATGTTTTGAATGAATAATGAAACAACTGTTGGGTTCGGTACTCGTATGAATATGAAAAATTATGCAGACTAATCTCGAAGGCTGTTATCCATGCACCTTGGCCGTCCCCCTGCGGCCAGTCGGCGGATAACAGCGGCCTCCGCGCGAGATCTGCGTAATTCTTCACATCATACTCCGCCTCGTTCAATAATTGTAATCATTCGTTACCAATTTTTCTTCCTTTTTATTGGCCGAAAGCCCACCACGTGACCTGCAAATAACTGCCTGCAAATAATGGTCTGCTCATTCGCATGACGTGTCGTCCAACTTTGTTTGGCTGCAAACAATATTCTGCTCATGCGTAAACGAAACCACGCTTTTCTCCTTCTTGCGATCGCTCTTGTGAAAAAAAAAAAATTGCAGATCGCTTCGCTTCCCGAAGATATTCCGTAATCGATAAAACAATTATTGAACTCGGTTATCGCAAAATATATCAGGATTTGTCAGTGTCTCGCAGATGAATTCGGCTTCGGCATTCAAATAATTGATCTGCTTGCCACTGACAAATGATCATTCCTCAATCTCGTCCAATAATTGTTAAGTATTTAAAGCCATTTTGCATAATTCAGAAGGCTAGATTTGTTAATTTTTTTGTACATCATATACGTTGTGTTTAAACTTCAGATTCAAAGAGAGGTTGAGAAGAATTCAGAAGAAAACTGTAATTCTTTTACGTGGAAGATAACCAGCTATAGTGAAGCATTGAGAAAAGCCAAAAGTGGAAAGGAAATTCTTTTGACGAGTTCTACATTTTACAGTTGTGGATATAAATGCAAGTTAGAATTCTTTCCAAATGGCAATGCCGAAGGAGAAAACACCCACCTGTCCTTTTTCTTAGTAATAATTAAAGGTGAATACGATGCCATGTTAACCTGGCCTTTCCATAAAAAGGTAACAATGACGTTGATTGATCAACAGGCAAAAGCAAAAGACAGGGAGAACATTGCAATGTCCTTTATAACAACTGATTTCTCAGAGTCCTATTGGAGACCTGTGGACGATGAAACCATTGGAGTAGGCTATCGTCGATTTGTATCTCACGAAAAACTGCAAGAGAGGCGCTACATTGTGCACGACACTATTTTCATTCAGATTCGCATCACTTCATCGGGAAGGCTGTGACTTTCCAACTAAAATTCTTATTTTCTCTATCTTATTACCGTGCACAATGCTCGTTTTATGCATCGGTTCAATTATAATCTTATGCAGTCTTTTTAAAAGTTTTATCGGACAGCCTCCTTATAACAAAAACATCAATATAACACACAGCGTTTTTCCAGATCTTCATCCTATATTCATTCAGTTTAAGTAAACTGAAGTACTGTACTTTTAACGTCTGTTTTGTAGCCATCTTAAGTTGATTTAGACCAAAGCACCGTTAATTCAAATTAAGTCGCTCCCTTTGGAAAGTGTTTTCAGCTGCAAGATTCCTGAGAATGGAGGAAATATCCCACTTCGTTTGTTTAACGCTCACATATATCTGCTCTCACATAATGACGAGTTTTGATAGCTTCTTTAAGATCTTATTTTATCCACGCGCGGCTTATTCCGCACGCGTCGTGACACCTTTTCGAGTACTTTGTTCTCAGTTACACCTTTATCAGCATTATTTCTCTCACTCGGATTTTGATTGTAAACTAACTGAAGGTCTTTTTTTCCGACAAAATCTTTGCAAAACCTAATTTCTCTCAGACTGACGGTGATGTAAGTGCACTCTTGTAAAGGAATTCCGTCCTATTTATAATTTCCACTTTTCCAAAATTTGCTCCGAGGACTGAAACTGAAACTCCTCTTCAATCCTTTTGCTTTTTTGATCTTTAATTATCTGGAAACATTTATTTTTTCTACCTATAAATACTATTTATCTTTACATGAATTAAGAACTGCATTGCAAACTACAATGCAAGTAGACTTCATTTGTGACTTGGCTGTTGACTGTCGCTGAGACCTTAAACGAAAGTATTTTAAAATCGTCAGTTCAATACCAACTCCTGTCTCGACTTTAGATTACAAAATCTGTACCTCAACAGCTGCCTGACTCGAACTTGATTAACAAGGGCTGGAAGTTACGATCTTCATACTCTACTCCTATCCAACCCCTTGAGCTCATACTATCTGAGCCCTTTCCTAATTTCCTTAGGATTTCTTTACATTTAAAACTTATTATTTTGTTCAGTACATATGTAAACATTCAGTATGACTCTATTAATAATAAACTTCACGACATCAACCTTGTTACTTAGATATGATTATTATGTTGTAATTTTTTTTATTTCAGAAATTATCTTTCCTGCGTCGCAGACGCTCTAAACTTTCTGTATAGAAATGGTTTAGACGTCCGAGTGCGTGGGCCGGCCGCCGGCCGGCTGCAACGCAGGCTAAGATTATCACGCATTGCTGAGAGACATGTTTTTAACCATTTACAGCAAGAAGACAATACTGTATCTCAGCCTATTATTTTCATTTAGTTACCGTTCAAAATAGTTTTGCATTTTTCACTTCACAATAAATTACAAAGAAGTTATAATGTTATCTAATTCTAAAATGATTAGTGGAAATTAACCCAATAAATACATTTATCAGTGAAATTATCAAAATCTCTATATACATTTACTGCTTTCGTTATGTTCTACTGCCCAGCATCTGCTCGCATCATTATCATTACTAGCCTCCCCGCAGACGTCCTTTGGGGTTCGTTTGTCACGCATTCATTTCTCCCCCACGGACGTCTGCTAAACAGAGCCGACTTTTACGTTCACCAATCACAGGCCGTTTACGGATTTTTCCCGAGCCGCTTCTTAAGATTCTCACGATCAGTGAGGCTTTTGATCGAGTGTGCGAGAAATTTGTAATTAATACAGAGTTAAACAAGTATGAGAGAGAAGCTATCCTGCAAATTTTATAGCGAAGACCGATGAGTTCATAAATTTGCCGACAGGATTTGGCAAATCCCTTATCTCTCAAGCTTTGCTGCTTGTTTGCGACATATTGCGTGGAACTACTGGACATTACTGTTGATGTTGTTTCTCCCCTGGTAAATCTTGAAAGATCAATCTACAAAGCTGGAAAATATTGGTATTCCTGCTGTAACGCTCAGTGATATTAGCAAAGAGAATATGAGGGTTGTCGATAGACGTTCTCTGTTGTTTACGGAAGCCCAGAAGCTTGGCTGAAGGTCGATCGGTGGAGGAAAATGTTAGCGAGTGACTTGTACAGTTACTATGTGGTCCTTGGTCGGCGACTTTCCCGAGCATGATTAAATATTTCGTCGAGAAATAAAATACAATGAACAATGAAAGGTTCAATGATTTATTGATTATAAGCATTCTTTCTTTCTTTGGAGGAGCGAGATTAAAGTTTGTTGACAGGTAGGTTAATTTGTCGTTCTAGCTTGAAGTTTGGACTCGGCGGCACCGTGGTCATGTTTACTTAGCTTGTGAATAAATAAAACGCAATTGGAGGACGTGCCTTTTTGCAGAACAAGTTTTCAGAAAAACGTTTTTCTGCCGTTGGAAGCACATTGCTGTAGACTTCGAATTTTTTGTTTTACCGACTCTTGAAAAAATATAACCAAATTTTGCGTACTGGTCCTTGGTTCGCGACCCATGACCTTGGTGGAATTACATTTCGCAAAAAAGGAAACGGCCTTTGTTTTCGAAGAATGCTTTGAATATCTTCCCTATACACGTTTACAAGTTATCTTTTCTTAATACTTCGAATATATACAGAGTTAATAGTAATTATTGTTTTCGACCGCGCTGAAAACCGCTCCGCGCTCGTGTGGGAGACTGTTGTCTGAAGTCTTTCAAAGAAAAGCAGATTATTTTATAGTCACAACTTCCGAAAAAAATATACAGCTGACTGCAGCTTTATTGCATCGTTTCTGTGATTTCTTCAAAACGTTTGAGTCGTCTCATGTAGAAGATAGCCGTGCAAATAAATAATTCACTTGAGAATACCAGAGACATCCAGAGACATCACTTATATCACGGCGCGTGATTGGCTGATCGTGACACAATAACTAACCGCTTATTGATTACTTAACAATCTGTAACCTCTATCGAAGAAAGAGTTCAAGTTCTTAATCCTGTCACAAACGATGTTTCAAATCCAAGGATAAAAGAGTAATTAGCTAGCATACTGAAGCTTTCGACAGCCCGGAAAAAGGAATGGGGGGTGGCCTACGAAATCCAGTGCGAGGGCTGCGATGATTTCTACATTGGGGAGGCAGCTAGACCAGTCCTTTTGGACTGAGATTCAAGGAAAACGTTGCGCTAACAAGGGCTTGGGAACAACAGTAGTGTGGGACCACCTTAAATATTAAGGCCACACTGTAGTAAGGGTCTAGATGGGGTTAACTGACAACTGACAAATGGCCAAAAGTTTAACTGACAACTGACAAATAGGCTAAAATTTAACTGACAACTGACATTTGTAGAGGGTTTTACTGACAACTGACAAAAGATCTTATTGCCCTAAATATCCTTCAAAACCCGTTGTAAATAACAATGTTTTACTCTCTTCGTCAAACAAACGCACGTTTTATATTTCAACAGGACGCTTGAGTGTGATATTTCGTTAATAATTTACTGTATGACCCATGTACATCAGGGTCATAATTTTCACCTCTGATCTCGAACTTACAAACTCACGCAGAGCAGTCCCGAGCACGCGCCAGCTTACATGATGGCTGCCAATGCTGGCGTCAGGGGCGTTATTAAAGCGATTGTAAGCTTTTACCGCGTTAATTCGGATACGGCATTCGAAAGACATATAAGCCGTATTCCGATAAATGACGTAAATACAGTACATGCTCTCAAAAAGCACCTTATTCAAAATTCCTTGGTCTGAACTAACAATTAAATACGGCCTTGGAGATTTCGATATAAAGCTTTATCGGATGGCACCGAAACCGGGCGGGAAAAGTGATAACTTCGCCATCGCAACGGACGACCAGTGGAAGCTGGAGCTTCCAAGTATGCTGGATGACTCAGGAAGCGAAATGAACAGTATGTATTCTTAGTGCTTGTGTATAATGGTGTAAATATAAGCATGCAAGTTAGTCCGGAAAACCTTCTGGGTACTGCTACGCTTTCAGAATATTTTCGCTCTTGTTTTCACGTAATGCACTATGTAACATTTATTTTTCTTACACTATGGCATGTCCCCTTGGTGTCCGTATTAACCGGGTTCCACTGTATTTTGTTTGTTACTCTCTTCCCAACGCGCCTGTTTGGGCGAGTGCAATATTCCCTGATCACTTCATCCCAGCCAATCACAACTGAGCCATTGACAAACAATACCCAATCAAATCAAACGAACAAAAAAAGAAAGAACTCTTGCGATATTTGTTTGTCTTTCTCACGATATACTTCAAATATTTTGAAGGTGAATTTTGATGAGCTGAGGGTCTAAGGGTTAGAGAGGAATGTTATGCTCGGGCAAGCAGGAGAGTAACGATAGAAAGCCGCTTGTAATGAATTCAACTCCAAATTTGAAAAAAAAAAAAGGTTATTAGTTTAGCAATTTTCGAATTAGTGATACAATTTACCAGGAACAATTTACATTTAATGTGCCTTTTGAGCTAAATTTTGGATAAAAAAGAAATAACTAAATTACTTAATTAATAATTAACAGCCAATTAACTGACAACTGACAAATGGCCAAAATTTTAACTGACAACTGACATTTGTACCCCCCCCCCCATCCAGACCCTCTGTAATGTAGTCATCAGACAAGGAGATGCTCACTGTTCCATTTCTTTCTACATAATATCTTTTATTAACTGAACAACATCTTTATCCTAGTACGTATAATCATGCTCTACTTTTAGTCAGTGCTAGTACTTTCACAATCGTTCTGTAGTACTTTTAACATCATTGGTTCTGATCTTAGTAATAGTACATAATTGTTACTATGGTAATCAATACACTACACAAACCTTGGATATCACCTCCTCTTCGATCCTTGCGAGAGAAGACGACATGTTTAAGAGAAGAGTCAGGGAGGCCATCGAAATATTTTGTCGGGCTAAATCATTGAGCAGGGACGTCGGTTACGAGCTCCCCGCTATCTACTGGAACGTTTTGTTACGTGATTCACAGCATAAATCACGTGACAAA